CACATTAGTCGAAAGCTAGGATCAAGATTTAGAGATGGTATTGAGCCATGTACTCCTATATGGGATGTAGGATTCCAAGAAGCACCTTAACTGCTGCATCAAGTGCCTTCTCCTTTATATATTTAATAACCTGAAAATAGGTAAAAACTGGTTAGCTCTAAGTTCAGGTTAACAGTGACTATACTAATCAATAGTTGTATAACTTGAACACATTATGTATCTTCTTTGAGACTAGGATTTCACATCTGTAAATTACCTCCCCCCCTTTTTTAGGTACTCAAAGTATCTATTTACTGAGAAAATCAGTAATAACAAGACCCACATATGTACCAAATCCTTGTTGAAATATGAACAAGCCTGGACCTAAATGCTTACCAAAAACCAAAGTAAAACTAAGCTATCTAATATAAATATGGTCACAAAATTATCAATGAGTTTAAACAATTTAGAATGATGAAAAATGATGAATAGTATAGTATTACAATACAAGATAGGGGTGAGGGATTCTTTTTTTTTTAACCAAGATACCTTTAATTTACTCTATAATACTACTAATAATATAAAGACTTCTTGTTTCTAAACAAGTTTTTTTTACATTTTTTGTTTAATATAAAGAGAACAGATTTCATGTAGTACATAAAGAATATGATACTTTACTCCGTCTTCCTTCCTTTCTTCTTTTAATTTTTGTGACACCAGATTTTAATTTATAATCATAGGCTTAATGCCCCACCAAACAAAGAATTCAACAAGTGAAAAGCAGAAAGACCACTACTCCACAGGAATATAGAAAAAGGCCATAAACAATACTCAAACCCTGTGATGTCAAATTCACTCATGTTTACTCACAACATTGGAGTGTTTTTGAGGATTACATGTGTGGCAGCCCACCATATGTATCCTGTAACTGTCGGGGCCACATTGTAGGAGAGAGTGGCTCCAGGGGAGTCAGGGTCACAGGATTGCAGCAGGTGTGGGCAGGAGGCAGGCAGAGAGCACAGTAGAGATAATATTTGGGTCCTTCCCTTTTCCAACACACTTAATTGCCACAAGTGCCCAGTTTAAGCCAGTGTTCTGAGTTCCAGAGATGCAAACAGGAACAAAAGGCTGCCTTTGTCCTTATGCAACTTACATTACAGAGTTTTCCATTATAGACAAATCAACTCTGTCATCCCTTTACTTAGAGTGTCCAGACATCTGCAGGCTACAACCAAGGCACATAGGGCTAAAACACTGATCTGTGGCAGTGCTTCCCAAGGGAAGGAACTTGGAGAGCTGTGCTGTTTAACAGATACGCTTGGTGACTGCCTAAAATGCGTTTGAACAGGATATGCTCAACTACAGAACACAGATGGACAGGAGGGGGCTCCCTAAGCAGATACAAAGACATCTCAGAGCTGCGTAGAATATAGGGAAAACATGATTGATATTTCTACTGACTGGTCCACTATGTGAGACTTTATAGTATCACCAGCAAGGCTAGGTATTTGAGTCTGATGGAAAGATTTACTCTGCCATCACATCTACCACTGCTAGGAGCAAGCCCTGTTCCTCTCAATATGCCCATTTATTTTCAGAAACACAATATAATTCATGATGGATCTTTCAGATATTACTTGTTGAATAATTGGTTACTATTGGGCTCCTGTTTTTTGTATTTGACCATGTTTATTGATTGACAGAAAAATTTGTTTATGTTTTTGTTATTTTATATGCATACTTTGCAAGATAGTTAGTATTATTCCAAAATTAGAAGTAAGTAAGGATAACAAGGTTCAGAGGTTATATAACTTCCTTATAATAAATAAAGGATTATCGGGTTGGCCTTGTGGCATAGCAGTTTAAGGTTTCAAAAGCAACTCTGGCATCACATATTGGAGTGCTGCTTTGGGTCCCTGAAGTTCTGCTTCCAATCCAGCTCTTTGTTAATGAATCCGAGAAAGGAGCAAAAGATGGCTCAAGTACCTGGGCCCCCGCCACCCTTGAGGGAGACCCAGTTGGAGTTCCTGGCTCCTGATTTGGCCTAGTGCAGCCCTGACAATTGAAGTTATTTGGGGAGTGAACCAGTAGATAGAAGATCTCTCTTCTCTCCCTCTCTCTCTCTCTCTCTCTCCCCCTGTTTCTCCACATCACTCTCTTTCTCCTCTCTTTGTCACTACACATTTCAAATAAATAAAAGTATGTCTTTAAAATAAATAGGCAACATAATTTGATCACATATGTCTGCAATCCCAATAAGATCTGTGGAATGACCTCTCTCTTCTATTCCTACTGTGCTATACCACTAGTAAATTTGCTTTACCATGTTGGACTTTGCATATTGTAGCACAGTTTTGGATCAAAAATGAGATACCCATATAGCAAACCTAACTGATAGCAACTGGAAGATTCCAACATGTAACCAGTAAGAGACACCTGCTCTACTATTGACTGGTCACAGCAACTCCACCCACCGCCCACAAGGCTGCACAAGGTCCTTGTCATTGAAGAGCTCCACGCCACACATTCTACTTTCCTGAAAGCAGTGAATGGACTTACGCTTGTCTGATTAGTGCTAGAGCATCCAGCCTCCCGATAGTTCACTGCTGCAGCACCTCCTCAGGTGTTAGCAAACCAATCATCCCAGCAGTAAATGTTACCTCCCTTCTCTTCTGAAGAAGTCTCTGCTGTATATTTAATCTAATACATTGAGTGTTAGGCTTTCAAATCTGCAGATTCTTTCTGTTTTCCCTGCCCACACTCACCATAAACTCCAGAAGATCCTCAGAAATGCTTTGACATAAAGTCCAGAATTGTCTGACTTGGGGCTGTGAGTTTGCATTAGTCTTCATTCTCGTGTCTCTATTGATATTTGCTAGAATATCTATGGTTGGTTTCCAGTCTCCACACTACTGGGTCTCACAAACAGAATTCTGCTATGTCTTTCCTTTGGCATTTCATAGTAAATAGAAGAGTACTTCAAAAAATTGATATAAAATTGAATTCAACAGTGCTTCTTTGGTGCCCCAAATTTTTGAAAACGTGCATAGATTTTGTGTTTTCACATCATACATTTCCATTAAGATTTTGAGATACCTCTTGGTGCTAAAAGACAATGATCTTCCCATCCTCTTAACATAAACCCGCATCAAATAGGAAGCAGAAATTCACTCTCATAAAAAACAAATCCACTTTTCCTCAGTTGGGCTCTTGTCCTGTTTTGCTTGTTTATTTTTCTATGGCAAAGTCTTTGTGTTTTCGTTTGCGCTCCTGGGAATCAACTCCCTCTCACCTGCCTGGGCGTTATCCCCAAATGCATTGACCACATAAGGGAGGCTGGGCCCCGCCCCCCACCTCTTTCCCTGGATTAGGATGTTGGTTCCAGTGAAATACGCTTTCCTGTGGTGACAGAAGCCAACCTACAGCGACAGGCTAAGTCCTGACTGCGAAGGACGCAAGAGAGCATTCTGCTCTACATTAACCGGCATTTGTCCAGTCTAAGGCCCACTCTGGCACAACGAGGGCACTTAAAGAAAACGAGGTCTCCCTTAAGGAAACACAGGAATTTCCAGAAACTCACATTTTTTCCCCCTTCACCACATATGATCCCCTTCCCTCACCAAAACAAATAAGCAAGCAAAAAACAAAAGCAATTAAAACATTTCTCCTTCACTTTTTTCCCTTGAAATTTACCTTTTGCAAGTGCACTCAGTAGAATCATTTTTGAAGAAGCCCCATTATAATATGTGTGTATTTACATTTGCTAAAGTTGGGGTGGGCACTTGGTCTAGTAGTGAAGATGCCAATTAACACACCTATGTCCCTCATTAGAGGGCTTGATTTTCAACACACAGCTCCACTCCTGACTCCCTCTTCCAGCTAATTTAGACACTTGGAGGAAGCAGGTGATGGTCTAAGTGACTGGATTGCTGCTACCCATGTGAAAAATTTGGATTCTGCTCCCAGCTTTCAGCTTCAGCCCCTTTGTTCATTGCAGGTATTTGGGGGGGGGGGGGGAGAACCAGCAGGTGGGAGTGCCGTCTTTCTCCACCTATCTAGCTTTCTCTGCTTCTTGTCTCTCTGTATCACACATACAAAAATTCTGAATGTACTTTAGTTTGAGTTACTAAAAGAAACAGATAGATAGGATAGAGAAATACTTAACCATTAGCTTATAGCTCTTCCTAAGTACCTGTTATATATTAATGTTAGCCGTCGCAAAACACACCGAACACTGGAGTAAGGGAAAGGGTTTATTGGGAACACCCAACAGACCGGAGTGAAGGGGCGGCGAAGGAAAAGGAGAGAGAAAGTATAAGAGAGAGAGCCAGAGGAGAGGAGCTAGTGAGGAGAGAAGATAGAGCAGAGCACAGAGGAGAGCAGGAGAGCAGAGCTAAGAGAGCAGGAATGGAGGGCCAAGAGGGCAGAACCAAGAGAGAAGAGTCAAGAGGCAGGGAGCAGAGCCAAGAGAGAAGAACCGAGAGAGCACGTGTGCAGGAACAGTCCTTTTAAAACTTTGCCGGAGGGTGGCAGGGAAGCAGGAGCAGCGAATCCCTTTAGGGTGGGGGGTAGAGCCTGGCTCAGGTAGCTGGGCCATGCGGCCACCTGGCTACAACTGCACCAGTTTCCTAACAGTACCAGTCCTGGAACGTCGCAAAATCTCTCTCTCTGCCTTCGCTTTGCTGCTTGTGCTAAGCTACTTTTGGCTGCTCATAACCAAATGCTCACAGCAAGTATCTCCTGGCCTGCTCTGTGCTCGGTATGGACCCCAACTTAGTCACTCCCCTATGCATTTCTCTCACTAAATAAAAAGCTTAAAAAACTTTAAAAAATACTACCAATGGGTTAAACATTTCTAAATATAGTTTTTTTACTCCCATAAGGATAAGGGGAATGTGCACTTAGACTGAAAGCCCACGACATGCACCTGGTACACTAGAGCACCAGGAATGGTGACCTGCTAGGCAAAGGAGTTCCTTTTGGCCTGACATAAGAAGCAAAGAGGCAATGCCTGGCCCTACCCAAGTTGAGATGCAGGGCGAGCCTTCCCTTCTGGAGCTCCAGGGTGATGTGGTCTCCACGTTGACCCTCTCCATGGAAAAGGACCCCATCTCCTTGCATGCTCTTGAACTTGAGGGAAATGACATCTTTGAGAGTGCTCATCAGTTTCTGACTGAACCTGTACAGAAGCGAGCTCCTCCCATCAAAGTCGGCAACGTCGGATTCTGCACATGGAGAGAACAGGGGAGAGAAAAGTCAGTGTGCATTCTCACCATTGCTGTTCCTGTTTCCCATCCCAGTTGCTGTCTGATCCACAGGAATGTTCTCAGGATCTCCGAGATACTTTCTCAATAGGAAGTGTACAGACTAGACCAACCCTAATTAGGCTCAGGGGAATTATTCATTTACAAGCAACACCACATGCTGAGTCAAAGTGAACTGATCATAGCCTAGAGGAAAAAGCTCTCGTTAGTGCTATGCCAGCTTTTGCTTCAGGGCACAGGGTGAGAATGCTCCAAGTGCCATGTCAGGCTTCACTGTGCAGAGGCCTGTGTGTAATAGCTGGTCATAACTTAACATCCTTATCCAATTGCTTCTGATGGCTAGACCCATTTGACCTCCTACCTTAGGCTCAAGATTAGACAGAGGGATAGATATACTTTATTATGCTGAGTCTGATTGAATAGTACTATCTTCCTAGAACTTCGTGTTGAGAAGGATCCCTTTAGCCGTAAAAGAAGGTTTGACATTTTAACAGACAAGGCAAGCACAAAGAAACATCATAATCTTCATGTAAGATACATATCATGGAAAAAAAAACTGAGTGACTTTAAAATATTTTTGCATTAAAATAAACTTAACTTTTAATTTCATTTTTCTGTTAACTTTTCAATGTCTCTTTGTATCCGTTTGATCTCTCTCTTGTCCTGTGTTTTTCACATATGTCGCTTTTGTGCTAATGAACAAAATGTCCATTCATTATTGTTAAAGCAGAGGGAGAAGGTCAGAGAATCATGATTTAGGTGAGTATAAGCATCTCTGAGAGATTTGTATCAAAAAGCTGAGAGGCACTCTGAGTATTATTACTGCATATTATTTCCACAATATTTTTCCTATTTTTTAATTCTAAAAATTTTACTGTGAGATCTTATTCCATTTAAAAAAATACAAGCCTATTTAATGATAACTTGAAATAGATCCATTATATCCAGTCTTAGGTGAGTGAGATGGTGGCAAATAGGAGTATGAAATGGTTGGAATTATTCTTGTTTAAAATCCAGCACCTGGTAAAACACATTTTTTATTATTCATAAAGCAATTAAAACACTCAGCTTGAGCAAACACAATAATGAAGTACTTTTCTAACCAAAGATCTAGAAACATCCTTTGTAAGTCTCAGATACCAAAATCAAAAGAATAATGAAATCACACTTTCCTTCAATTAAACAACTTCACAATTAATCCCCGTGGAATAAAGTGACTCTAAACAAAAGTTGCTGATGATTCCCTGGACTGTAAGAGAAACTTCAGACACAGAGAGATTTTCACAAACTCTTACCCTGCTCAGAGCCTCCCCAGCTCACCTCATCAGTACACCCACATTTGTTGTCTGACATGGATTTTTTCCCCAGACACATGGGTGCTACAGGCAGCCAGCAACCATTAGTCAGGGAATAATGAGAATCATCGTATAGAAACGAGCGAACATGATGTTAAACTATGCTGCCTTGTTCACCCAAGGCAACCTTAGCTCACTACATCTTGCTTGCCTTGTCTACAAAATGAAGATCCTTATGTGCATTAGGGAAGACTGTTGTGAGAATTAAATGTGCTAATAAAGTGATAGCACATATAAAATGATGCCATTGTGCTTGGCACATTATGCTAATTAATTCAACAGTAGGGAGTAGGAGTTGTAGCAATGACTAAGATGCAAGGAGGGAGCCTTGTATGCCTAACCACCAGCCCACTGTGCTGGCTGTCATTCCTTTCTCACCCTAAATGACACCCATGGTAGATCAAAGGATGGACAGAAAGACATCTGCATCCCAGTTTTATTTCCTGTAGCTGAGACAAGCACAAGTTGTGTCTTTTGCACAACAGTCTAAATTCCTCTCTTATTCCTGGTAACATTTGTCCTATTCCCCTATGCAGATGGTGTTGGAACTTAGTGTAGCACAGGACACACCTCTGCACTTTTGCTCATTATGTGCCATGTTGGAGTCACTGCACATAAATTATTGCTCTACATCCAGCCCCTCACACCATCATGACACTGTGAGCCTCATGAGAGTCTCCAGCACACTGGGAAGAGTCTGAGATAGGGCAGGTAGGGCCCTCTGATGCGAGACAACATGGATGAGCTCGGCCTTTTGCTCCCTGTGAGCAGCACTGAACTAAAGGAGAAGCCTGTCTGCTGGAGCAACTCTTCCACTGACACAGTGCCCAACCAGTGCATGTCTGTGTCAATACTAGGGGTCTAACATTCTTTCTTGAAAAATAGCATGTGATGTTGTACTCACTGTGACACCTGATTATAAAGATGCAATAAGAAAGATCATGCTAAAATTGAATCAGTAGGAGCTGGCACGGAGGTATAGCGGGTAAACCTGCTGCTTGCAGTGCCCGTATCCCATATGGGCACCTGTTCCAATCCCGACTGCTCCAATTCTGATCCAGCTCTTTGCTATGGCCTAGGAAAGCAGTAGAAAATGGCCCGTGTCCTTGGGTCCCTGCAACTGCATGGGAGACCCGGAAGGAGCTCCTGGCTCCCAGCTTCCGATTGGCATAGCTCTGGCTGCTGTGGCCATCTGGAGAGTGAACCAGTGGATGAAAGACCTCTTTCTCTCTCTCTCTCTCTCTCTCTCTCTCTCTCTCTCTCTCCCTATCTGCCTCTGCATCTCTGTAGCTCTGCCTTTCAAATAAATAAATAAATCTTTTAAAAAATTGTTTCAATAGAAACACATGAATACTCATTATTTGCTATTTCCTCCAACACTTCATTTCATTACCCCATACTTTGATGCCTTTGGCCAAGAGGACACCTCCCAAAGGACAGAGTTCCTTTTCATTCAAGTCCTGGGTTGCTGAAATTCCTTTCTCCTGTAACTGAACTGCAACTCCTCTCCCCATCCAGCACAGCTGTTATGATCTACATTCCATTTCTTCAAAAGTCAGGCCACACTAGCAATTTGACCAATGATGTCAGTGTGGATGACAAGAGCTACTTCTCAGAAAACCCAGCTCCATGAGACATTGGGAAATTGAGCCACTGGGTATAAGGGAACTGCTAATGATAGAGCAGAACTTGGCTCTCCAAATTCATGCAGACTTTTAAACTCCAAAGTCTCTGTTGAGGGTTGATCAATTAAGGCTGGAGACTTGGTTTAACTATGGCATCTGTGAGGCAGGCATAGTGGGTGGTCTGTAGGTCATTGAGGGCTGCTCACAGAAGGCAGTTCTCCCAAGAAGGTTGGTTATTTAATCTGAGTTTGGTTTTGGCTTAGTTCCTCTCTGTCTCTGTCTCTGTCTCTGTCTCTCTCTCTCTCTCTCTCTGCTTCCTAGCTTACCTTGAATTGTTTCTCTGCACCTGCTTAGCTGTGACAACCTCTACCAGACTAACAAAGCCACCTGATCTTGAACCTACAAACTGCAAGCCAAAATGACCCTGCTCTGTCCCAAGAAACCCCTCTCAGTTATTTTAGGTAAAGTAGGAAACAGCTGACTAATAGAAGATGGATATACATATATATATGTGTGTGTGTGTGTGTGTGTGTGTGTGTGTGTGTATATATATATATATATGGAATCTGACAGACCTGGGCTTCGACCCAAGCAGCCTACTCAGTGGTGAAGATTTTAAACATGATCTGAAGATAGTACAAGATCATAGCATGAAAGCATGCTATTTGGGCTTGGAGTTCAGTCCTTCCTGTCACATTGAGCAGGCATGCTTTCAAGTTCTCCTCCTCATCATCTACATTCCATATTCTGAAAACAGCCTAATTAGTCATTTGCATTCATTTTTAAAATTCTTATTTATTTATTTATTTGAAAAGCAGAGTGTTGGAAGGGAGGGAGAGACAGAGAAGGAAGAGGAAAAGAGATCTTCCATCTGTTGATTCACTCTCCAAATGCCCACCACAATAGCCAGCTCTGGGACAGCCTGAAGCCAGGACCCAAGTACTTGGGCCATGATCTTCTGCCTCCTGAGAGCATTAACAAGAAGCAGTATCCTAAGCTCAGCAGAGCTGGAACTCAAACCTGCACTCTGATATGGGATGCAAGCTTTCCAAGCAGTGGCTCAAACTGCTGTTCCACAACACTCCACCTGACACTTCCTGTATTCAACTTCTGCTGCTCCCTCTGACCCATTCTTTACTCTTTATAAAACATGAGAAGCAAGGGTTGGTGCTGTGGCCTAGCGGGTAGGGCCGCCGCCTGTGCCAGCATCCCATATGGGCGCCAGTTTGAGACCCGGGTGTTCAACTTCCAATCCAGCTCTATGCTGTATCCTATGAAAGCAGTGGAGGATGGCCCAAGTTCTTGGGCCTCTGCACCCATGTGGGAGACCCAGAAGAAGCTCCTGGCTCCTAGCTTTGGATTGGCGCAGCTTCAGCCATTAAAGCCATCTGGGGAGTAGACCATCGGATGGAAAACCTCTCTGTTTCTCTGCCTCTACCTCTACCTCTATGTAACTCTGCCTTTCAAATAAATAAATGAATCTTTTTTTTTTTGACAGGCAGAGTGGACAGAGAGAGAGAGAGACAGAGAGAAAGGTCTTCCTTTGCCGTTGGTTCACCCTCCAATGGCTGCCACGGCCGGCGCACCGCGCTGATCCGATGGCAGGAGCCAGGTACTTATCCTGGTCTCCCATGGGGTGCAGGGCCCAAGGACTTGGGCCATCCTCCAACCTGGACAGAATCCGGCGCCCTGACTGGGACTAGAACCTGGTGTGCCGGCGCCACAAGGCAGAGGATTAGCCTAATGAGCTGCAGCGCCGGCCAATAAATGAATCTTAAAAAAAAAAAAAAGAGAGAGAGAGAAGCATCACACTTCATGTTAAAGCCCCTCAGTGAAGTTCCTTCCTGGGGTGGGGGACCTTTTTTCTGCCAAAGGCCGTTCGAATATTTGTAACATCATTTATGGGATTATAAGATTATCAACTTAAAATTTAGCCTGCTATGTATTAATTCAATTTTATGTGTTGCCAGACCAAATCAGT